CGAGTACCGCAAAAAAAAACAAAAACAAAACAAAAACAAACCAAAAAAGATAACGGGAAGGCATTAGAAGGGCGCAGCCCAGGGATCAAAGGCCTGAGAAGACAAAGCAGAGGATTCAGAAGGGAAACCTGGAGACAGAGGCCCTGCGGGAAACAGGCAGGCCCAGCCTGGTTGGCGGCTGCTTCCCTGGGGCCGTAGTCTCCGAAATGGAGCCCGTCCTGCCCAGCAAGCTGCCAGACCCCAAGGGAGGAAAGTTTGCCTGAGGACAGAGCCCGCCAGCAGGGCCCCAGAGTGGAGGGCGGTGCCGGCCGGAGCTCAGGGGAGGGATGAAAGGACCAGGGGCCAGCCCAGCCCTGCCGAGTCTAGTCGGGATCTGCTCTTTGCACTCCTACTGGGAGTGAAAGGAAGGAGAGGTCCCGGGTTTGGGTCCAAAAATGCTGACCTGACTGCGATGGAGTTCCCGCTGCAAGCAGCTCACCTGCAGGAACCCCTAAGGTGCTGCATCTCCTGCAACAGTGGGACTTGTCTTTGCCTCCGTGCCCAGCAGCGGACGGGGCAGTTCCTGGGCAGCTGTGACCTGTCATCTGGCTGGAGTATCATCTCCACGACACCAGACCCATGTTATGAGTCCAGCCCCTGACAGCTGTGCCCTTGGGGCCACGGGAGACAGGGGAACCCCGACTGTCCCCACGTGCAGTCCCATCCCTTCCACCTGCCTCTCTCAAGGATTCAGAAGAGTCAGGCATCTAAGTCTGTCTCTCGGCTCATTTCTAACGTGGAAGACGTCTGATGTTCATAACGGCAGACTTATCATACTGTACGGTCTCAGCCTGACACACATCATACCACATCCCAAGCTAGCCCATCACTGGGGTCCAAGCCGGAAAGGCAGAGCCTCAGCCCAGCGCTGCTCAGCACACGAGCTGACCGTTGTGTATGGAGCCTCTCTGAGCCTCACGTCCTTCACCTTCACAGTGGAAATTATAGCCCCTGGGGTAGCTGTGAGGACAAATGCACATGTGCAAAGCACTCAGCACAGGACCTGGAAGGTGGTCCCTAAGTGTGTTTGGTTTCTTACTGTTATTTATTATTAGAACCGTCACCCCATCCCCATCCCTACTGAAGGTAGGATGTGCAGGAATACTTAGGACTCCACCATCTGAAGACATTTTTTTCAGCATCTCCACCTGAAAGGGACCTCGAGAATTTAGCCAAGACCACAGTCTCTGAACAGAGCACTCCTCAACCCTCTAGAAAATCACCATCTAGCCTGCCTTTAACATCCTCCAGAGAGAGAAGTTTCCAGCTTTAATCACCCCATTCACCACCTTCCTCCTGGGGCCCACCTAAGTTCTTCCCACCCCTTTGTTCTCATGAGTTTCCCTAATGGTCCACGTCAGGGCATTTCCTTCTTACTCGAGTCCATCTCAAAATTCCAGCAGCTCAGCTGAGGGTCGGACTCTGTTCGCCCCACTAGCCCCCAGCACCCTGGAGCCACCAAGCAGAGAGGCCAGGGCGGATGTGAGTGTGAACGCGGTGCCCGCATGCCATCCCCTCAGCCGGCGGGAAAGGGCACCATCGGCTACTGCCCGCCACCCCGCCCCACCATTCACCCATCTCAGGCTACACAGTCCCTGCTGGCCATTATCACAGCAGGTGGACCACGCCAGGGAGGTGTGACTGCGGTGAGGGAACTGTCAAGTCTGTCATTCACCGAGAACCTCCAGCGTGCCCGGCGAAGAGCAGGTGCTCTGTCTAGAGAATGAATGAATGAATGAACGAGCGAATGAATGAATGAGCGAGCGAGTGAGTGGCGTGCAGTCACTGAACTCTGCCCTAATTACATTCAGTGCCATCGATCAAGGCAAGGCCCAGGACGAGTACCAAAGATCGACTGGTCATCTCTTTGTTCCCCCAGATCCGCTGTCACGAAGGGCAAATCCACCCGTCTCCGGTCCCCGCAGGCTGACCTGCACACACACGACAGGCTCCCTGGCCCTCGACTGCCCATGTCCTGGGGTCAGAGGGAGGGAGCAGCGTGGGGCCTCTGCGGGGGCCACAAGCCGCCTGCATCCTCCAGGGAGGGGCAGCCCGCCTTGGGCCACTGGCTCCAGTGACTGCTCCACCCTCACCCCTCAGACCTGGGGTGGGACTGCCTGGGCTTCTGCAATATCCCCTGTGGTTTTCCTCTACCCTAACCCAAACCTTTGTAACAGCCTTCATTAAATTCTTTTCAACTTGCCCTATATGAGCGGGCGTGTGCTTCCTTCCAGGCCCTGACCCAGCTGGTCCCCGAGTCTTACTTGTCAAGACACAGAAACACAGCCTGGGAAGGGAATCAGCGGTCAATTAACCTTCTAGACGTTAGCTACAAGGAAGTCCTTCTCCATCTGGCTTCTCTTCGTTTTGCGCGGAGAGAAGCAAAGTCTTTTCATTTCCCATTTTTTAAATTACTTTTTTTGAATAGTTAATAGATTCAGATGGTTCAAAATTTTTTTAAAGTATAAAAGAGGGGCTTCCCTGGTGGCGCAGTGGTTGAGAGTCCGCCTGCCGATGCAGGGGACACGGGCTCATGCCCCGGTCCGGGAAGATCCCACATGCCACGGAGCGGCTGGGCCCGTGAGCCATGGCCGCTGGGCCTGCGTGTCCGGAGCCTGTGCTCCGCAACGGGAGAGGCCACAACAGTGAAAGGCCCGTGTACGGAGAAAAAAAAAAAAAAAGTATAAAAGAGTATATATATACTGAAGTCTGAATATATACTGTATATATATTCCATATATATACATACACTGAAGTCTCCAGCACCGGGACAGTTCCAGGGATGGGATGCCATATCCCCGGTCACGGGCCCAGCTTTCCACCTCCAGGCAGGTCCAGATGACGTCTCATCACCAGACTGAACAAACCTGGCCTTGCCATCATTTCCACTTACTGTGTTCACTTCTCAACAGGAGGTTCCGACCAAGCCAAATGGGGAGGTTCTGCCTTGGGCTGGAAGCAAGCCCTCCAGGGCCCCTGCCCTGGCTCACACCAAAGCTTCCAGAAAACCCAACAACGCCTGTTTCTCACACCCTGGCCCTTTAGGAATCAGCATTCACAGAATGGAAGGGCAGGAGTCACCTCTCCAGGCAGCAGTGTTCTCTTCAGATTAGAAAAAAAAAAAGTCAAAGCTTAACGTGGCTGGCGGCGGGCAGACAGACGTCTATCGCATGTGACCTAATGATGCCATCACATAGGGAAACCTTCACAGGTGAACACTCACTCAACAGCCCAGGTACTTAAGCCTCCTGCACAAGGCTCCCTCCAGCTCTGTGACAAGTAAACGGGCACTTTGCCTCCTAGGAGTTTGCCTCCAGAGACCACAGAACACAGCAGCTAAATGACCATTCACACTGCAGCTAAATGAGGTCAGCTGGGGACTCGGGGGAACGTCCAGGGACACGGCGTTGCCGTTATATATGGAATAATGGAGCCAATGAAGACGGTGAGTTTGGGACCACACGTCATCAGCTCAGGATCCAACTGAACCCTGAACCCTCTGTCCCTGCTCGTGGCTTTCACCTTCCTTCTCAACATCCCCACAGCACAGGGAGTGCCAACCATGCATCTTCACAACCAGGACCTCACAGTGGCACCTTAGCAACCTCCGTTTAAGGGACAAAGGCCAATAGGGTAATACTGGCAACCGTAGCATTAACCTGACGATTAATCGGGATTATGAGAGAAGTGAAGAGACGGCCAGAAAGGTGGGGTGGAGGCAGCGGCGGGAAGCCACGCAGCCAGTCCCAGGTACCCGGGTGCCTGGGAGGGAGTCTCGGCTTCCTCTCTGTTCGCCCCGGTCAGTGGTACCCAGGTGGGGGTGGGGAAAGCTTGGGTCAGAGTGACAATGGGTCACCGAGCCCAAGCCCCTTCCAACACAAACAGAAAAATCAGGAGGAGCCAATCAGCTCTGTTCGGAAAGTAAAAAACGAGTCTCCTCCATCCTAGGCTCCGACCTGAGGGTGGCAAGTCCCGGCCCAGCTCTGCAGCGCCCTGGGCACAGCAGGGCCTCCATCGCCCTGCCCGGAAATTGGGGCCCCGCGAGCATCTGGGATTTTCCGGCAGGCCTCGCGCACCCAGCCCGCGGTGCAGGTGGGCCAGGTGGGGCGCTGGGTGCCAGCTGCCAGGCACAGGGAGGCAGGTCTTGCCTGGCCGGCCGGCCGTTTCCCCACGTCTCTGCATGCTGAGCCGCGCGCCTCTCACCCGTCCCGGTCCCCACACGGTCGTCCCGGTTCACGCGCTCGTTTTGCGGATGAAGAAACTGAGGTTCCGGGTGGTTAACTGACTTCCCGAGAGTCAGAGGGTAGAAAAGGCCGAAGGCAGGACCCGTACTCGGACCTGCTTCCACACCGCCGAGCTGCCCACCCCCAACCCCTCGCCCTCCAGTCCCTCCCGGAGACTCGGACCGCAATCCGAGCGCGCCGCCGGGACCCCACGCGGCAAACCTCTCGACACCGTAGAACAATCGACCCCCCGCCCCAAATCTCCAGTCCGCCGGGAGAACCCGATTCCATCTGGATCTCAGAACTTGCTGCGGCGCAATCCGGGTGCGGTCCAAGTATCGCGACCGCGCTCTGCTCGCCGGCTCTGCGCACCGGCTCCGGCACGTGGGGTCGGCCGCCGAGTGCCCGGAAGGGGCGACGTGGGGTCGCAGGGGCGATGCGGCAGGAGAGGGGCAGTGTGGGGTCGGGCCCCGCGCCCTCCCGGCCGCCCCCCGGCACCTGGCGGCGCAGGTCTCCCGCTCCGGCCCGGGAGCGCTAGCGGGGGGACTCCGCCTACCTTTCCGGAAGGGCATCCTGGAGGGGCGCTCCGGGAGGGGCCGGCCCGGGACGCCGAGGCCGGGCGACGTCCGAGTGCCAGCCCCGCGGCTCGGGGGTGCCTACGGGCACCGGGTGCCGGGCGAGGGAGGGGGGGAAAGGGACATATTTGGGCAAAGGCCGGGGCGTCACCGGCGGAGGGAGGAACCACGGCGAAGCGGGAAGCGCGGCCCCGGGGCGGGCCTGGCGGAAACCACTTAACCCCTGAGCTCCCGGCCGAGCAGCGCGCCGGCGGCCTCCCCAGCCCGAGCCAGGGTCTGGGTCGCGAGCCCCCCACGCTGTGCATCGGAGCTGGGCCTGCCTCTCCCGACGCCCCTGAGCGGAAAGGAAACTCCTGATCGGGAAGAAAAGCAACTCGCTCATCCACGCCTTTGGGCGGCTGGAGGACATCATCCCTGGAAGTATTTGGGGAACTTTATTCCATTTTAATCTTTTTGTCCTCAGGCCCAGGAGTCCGCTCAAAGGCTGGTTGACTTGACTTGAAATTAAGGGAGGGCTGGGGGGAGCAATCCCACACACAGCTCAATAAATATGTTAAAAAATAATGATGGTAGTGGGACTTCAGGAACTATAACCCAGAGAAATGGGGGAGGGGCCTCACCCCTCACATTACTATTTATTTTGCCTTTGGGAAGACCCGCACCTGAGAAAATGCTTTATTATTTGGTGGACTCAAAAGTCTCAAAGGCAGGACATCCTTCCAGTCAGGTAAGAGTTAACTCCTGTGACAAGTGCTGTTTCACATTGCGGTTTGAAGACCGGTGTTACCACAATCTCCTGATCTAATATTTAAAGCACCCATGCAGATAGCAATTGGCCCACTGTCTGTATAGTGAAAAAAACCCATCCAGGTGAGCTGGGAAAGTCAGAGCCAGTGGTTTTTGTTTTTTGTTTTTTTTTTTTGAATCTTTTCTTAATCAGAATCAGTTGTTCAGCCTGTTGTCTTTTATGATTAATAGTCCGAACTCTCCCCACCCCCTTTTGAAGGGAGAAGGAAGTAGCCATTAGGTCAGATACTGTATTGTCAGCTGGCTTGGGAACATGGTAGAGCCTCCTGGAAAGACACTGTTGCATGGACCCAGCTGGAGATCCAGATGGTGAGCCCTGATGAGTGTAGGCATCAGTCGGCCTGAGAGGAGCAGGAAGTGAGGGATGCTGGGGGAGTCCCAGATTCAGTGCTGGGAGCAATGGTCAGCTCCCTCTGCCCTTTTCCCTGCCATGACCATAATGCCTGGTGGGCGTGCACTTTACTCAGTGAAGGCAAATTGTATCTAAGGCCAGATAAAGTGTCAAGACCGCACATCTCTGACTCAGACTGCCGTGAGTCATCCTGAAGCCAGAGGACATGCACTTTGAGACGACGGGCCTTGCACCCTTCTGGTTGGCACCTTTACTGCCCTATGGACTCACGTGGCTGATTGTGCTACGGTAAGAAATTTATGTTTGGTCTTTTTCACCGGTTCTTGACACAGAGCTTCTAAAACCTTTGGAATCTCTGCAGTGATCTTCTGTATGCTAAGGAGAGGACAGGTGGCTGGGGGCCCCTAGATAGCTTCAGGAGAGGGGCTGGTGGCTAGAAGACCAAGCACGATTAGAGGACTGGAAATTGAGTTCAATCACCAATGGCCAATGATTTAACCAATCATACCTACAAAATGAAACCTCAGTAAAAACCCCACCGTGACGGGGCTTGGAGAGCTTCTGGTTGGTGGGCACATGGAGGCGCTGGGAGGGTGGAGCACCCAGGGTGGGCACGGAGGCTCCGCGTGCCTCTGCGCTCTCACCTTGCCCCCGTGCATCTCCTCCACGTGGCTGCTCCTGACTTGCATCCTCTATAATCAACTGATAATAGCAAGTGAAGTACTTTTCTGAGTTCTGTGAGCTGTTCTAGCAAATTATCAAACCTGAAAGGAGAGCGTTGGAGGATCCCCAGACTTCGTAGCCAAGTTGGACAGAAGATGGGTACCCTGGGCATCTGTAGTGGGGCAGTCTTGCAGGACTGAGGCCGTAACCTATGGGATGTGGGGTAAACCCTGGTAGTTTCAGAACGGAGTTGAATTGCAGGACATCCAGTTAGTGTCCAGAGAGCTGGACAACTGTCTGTTGGTGTGGAAAACCCACACATTTGATATCAGAAGGATTCAGATTCATGCAGCCTGATCTCGGCTTTGAGTCTAACGCCATGCAGGAAAAAGAACACAGGGACTCCTTTCAGTCTGGTCACCATCCTGTGTTCAGAGAGCAGCCCGCTCAGATTTTTGTAGTGCTTGTTTAACAATCCTGAGAACACTTTTTCTTTCACCACCAGTCAGAGGCAGCCAGCAAGGATTGATGTCAACATCTTATAACTCAGAGGGCTTCCACTTGTCCCTTGCAGAAGGGAGGAAACAGCCCAGGCAAGTTCACGCAAGAGATAAGAGTGGCGTGGACGGCTGGATTCGCTGAAGCATTAACTCATCACCGCCAGCACTGGGGGGAATTGGGCTGGGGTGGTGGGTCATGGCCCTCTGGATTTCAGACGTGGAGGAAAGATTGGAAGCAATTTTAAATTGAGAATACATTCCCAGGCCCTGTCAACAATGTAGCATGAGTCATAAACTAAGTCATTTCATCAGTGTTCACCAAATTTCAACTGTGTCTGGTGACACTTCTGTTCTCAATCTAATGCACTATTGATTCAACACTGCTCCTCTCCTAGGGAGCTCTTAGTACCTCAAAGTGATGTTTTTAAAATCTAGCCTAATTGCTACAACCATGAGGAAACTCCAAGGCCTCCTCTAGGCCTCAGTTTATCATCAGTTTAGGATGGTCACCGTCAGCAGCATAATCTGAGGTCACCTGAGGTCCTGAGGCACTCCAACTTGCAGGCAAGAGAGGAGGTTAGAGGGCTGCCCACATGGATCTCTGGGCCTCAGACCCTGTTTCTGATTCAGTCTGGGGCGGGGCCTAAGAACTGGCCCACTCACAAGGTGCCCAGGTCATGAGGATGTTGCTGGTTCTTCTGGTTCCAGACCGCCCTTGAAAAGTGAAACTCAACGGTGAGGTGAAGGCCCCAGAGGAGCTAGATCAGAATCTTGGGCTCTGTTTACCCAGGGCATGAGCTGCCTTTCTCCTGGCTTTGGTGACCTGTTCCCAGGCTCTTGGCAGGAAGTGCCCAGGCCACAGCCTCTGGTTTTCTCACTGCAGGGTAAGAAAAGGGTACCCGACCCAGATTTCTTTTCCAATTCATAGGCAGAAGAATTTCATGCCCTCTCAGAGGGACGGTAGCACTCAAATAGGAAGAGATCTAACACTCTGTACCCCTGGCAACTCACTGTCCCTACCACAGCCTTTCCCTTCCCAGGTATTTGGGCATCTGCATTTTTAAGCCTTGTCTCTCTAATTATAGAATGTAAGGCTTTGTCTCCGGTGAAGGGTTCCCAGGCCAAAGAAGGGGACTGGGAACTTTTGATGGGGGTCAGGAACAATGGTAAAAAGAAGTTTGTGTGCGAAAGAGGAAGGAAGAGGAAGGTGCCGGGGGCAGGGCCCACCCCCGCCTCCACCAAGCTGCCAGCAAGGGGAGACCAGGGGCTGTCCCCACTGCACTGGCTCCCATGGCCTGGCCGCCCCCTCACTCCTTGCCCCTCGGCATGGTTTAAGCTTCCAGCTCCTTGGCGTTTGCCAAAAGGCAGACCTACAGCCAGCACAGGGAAGGGTGGATGCAAAGAGCAGGGGTGGGGAGTGAGAATTGCCACAGTGTGCTTCCTACTCTGGCTGTGTGCTATGCCCTCTTGGAGCCTCTGTTGTCGGTCTATAAATGGGGATACTGCCTTCTCTGCGCATCGCTGTAAGGATTCGAACTCATGTTTGCCTGGAGCACGAGGACCCAACAAAAAGGTAGTTACTGTTAATAATATTAATAGAGCTGGAAGCGGAGAGAGGCTACTTTCAGGGTCCCCAGGGTAATGAATGGGAAGGGTCCCAGCAGAGGAGGTAAGTGATAGGAACTCCTGGGGAGGCACAGGGTGGGAGTGCGTGGCTGGCCCAGGAAACATAGGGGCTGGTTCAGGGGGGGTCAAGTGCAGCAAGAGAAGTCCAGCTGCCGGGGGATGAGCTCCCAGTGACTCTGCGTTTTACCAAAATGTGAGTCTGTGTGTGTGTGTGTGTGTGTGTGTGTGTGTGTGTGTGTGTGTGTGACTATGAAAAGATTAATGATCCACAGTATCAGAGAAAACTATGACCGTTAAGAGTAGATCTATGGAAATAGCCAAGATATGGAAACAACCTAAATCCATTCATCAGCAGGTGAATGGATAAAGAAGAATGAAATAATGCCATTTGCAGCTCCATGGATGGACCTAGAGATTATTATACTAAGTGAAGTAAGTCAGAAAGAGAAAGACAAATACCACATGATATCACTTATATGTGGAATCTAAAATACGATACAAATCAACATATCTACAAAACGGAGACAGAATCACAGACATAGAGAACAGACTTGTGGTTGACAAGGGGGAGGAGGTTAGGGGAGGGAAGGATTGGGAGTTTGGGATTAGCAGATGCAAACTATTATATATAGGATACATAAACAACAAGGTCCTACTGCATAGCACAGAGAACTATATTCAATATCCTGTGACAAACCATAACGGAAAAGAATATGAAAAAGAATATATATTATATATATATATAAAGAATATATATATGAGTCACTTAGCTGAACAGCAGAAATTAACACAACACTGTAAATCAACTGTATGTCAATAAAATTTTTAAAAAAAGAACAGTTCTATGGACACGTCTAACTCACAGATCTTGGTTTCTAAATACCGTTCTCTGATTAAAGGGCCCAGGAGATCTTGGAGGGTTGGAGTGGAAAGATGAGCCTGGAACATGTTAGGGTGCCAAGAAATAAGTAACTTTTATGCTGAGGTGCCAACAAGTGACGGGGACGTGTCTGAAAGACCCGGGGGGGCAACCTGAAAGGGCTCTTCTGGGAGAGTTTGAGCAACAAGATAAATCATAATGGCAGTGGGTTCTGACGCATAGAATAAAGACTCCGTGAGTCCAAGCTGACGTAAAGAAATAGGTACATGAGTAAGTAAGTGGGAGCAGAGGGAATGCTCTTCCTCAAAAATTCTAGGATTTATAGAAATTAATGATTTCTAAAATTTATAGAAATTATTATAATTCTAGCTAGTAAGCCGCATAGCACAGGGAGACCAGCTCGGTGCTTTGTGACCACCTAGAGGGGTGGGATAGGGAGGGTGGGAAGGAGACGCAAGAGGGAGGAGATATGGGGATATATGTATACATATAGCTGATCCACTTTCTTATAAAGCAGGAACTAACACACCATTGTAAAGCAATTATACTCCAATAAAGATGTTAAAAAAAATCCTGCCATTCATATAAATGCATCAACTCAAATTTTTTCCAAGTATCAAAAACAGCATTTCTCCATAACTACCTTGTATTGTAATTAAAGTTCTTATCTCAGTTAAAGTGTTTTCCCTCTAATACTGTTCTTTGTGGAGAAGCTGTAGAACACAATTACTGATATTCAGACTTTTTGCTTTTTTATCTAATTGGTTTACTATTCTCCAGCTTCGATCCCAAATAAAAAGATAAAGATTTAAAACTCTAAAAAGAAAAGAAAAGAACTCTAGTTAATAAATGTAGAAGGAATCGTAGACTAGGACAGTCACTGGCAAATCCCACAGTAGTGCTTGTTTCACAGAGGAATCATCAGTGGTTGCTGAAATTAGCAAAAATACGATGAGAAACAGGATACTGACAGTCTCACAGTATCTCCCACAAGGTAGTTACTAATGACAAAGGGGAAGAAGGCAACTTTACCGGGGATAAACCTGGCAGCTGCCTTAACCAAGGGATCAAAGTGAACGCCTCCAGTGATGGACCAAATCGACATTGTGTGCCTCTTGACACAAGGCACTGAGAAGGGCACAGGGAGGACACCTTCAGTGTTCTTGCCAAAAATGCATAATTTGAATTTAATCCTGAGGAAACATCAGGCACCTAAAATAAGGGGCATTCTACAAAATAACTAGCCAGTACTTCTTCGAAAACGTTAAAATCACAATGGACAAAGACTGAGGAGGACTGAAGGGTTCCTGCACTGCGTCCTGGACCACAAAGGGGACACCAGTAGGACAGTCGGGGAAATTTAAATAGGATTGTGCCAGTGTTAATTTCCAGATTTCCATAATTGTGCTGTGTTTATGTAACAATTGGGAAATTGGAGTGAAGGTATTTGAGAACTCTTGGTACTGCTTACAACATTTTTGTAAGTCTGAAATTAATTCAAAATGAAAAGTTTTTAAAAATTAAAAAGTAATTATAGATGCTGGAAAGCTCACTAAATGAGAAGACTCCCAAATTGATTCGGCCGTGTAATCAGCTGCTAGTTACCTTAGTGACAGGTA